AGGCCACGAATAAGATGGAAAGATCAAGTGGAAGACAACATTGCCGAATATGGTCTTTCATATTGGAAAAACTGCGCAAAAGACTGACGCTGATACTACCCGTGCTGTTGTATGGATCTGAAGCATGGGTACTTGCGCAAACAAATGAGGCAGCTCTTGGAGTGTTCGAGAGAAAAATTCTCCGAAAGATCTATGGGCCGATCTGCGTTGATGGTGCATATCGCCGTCGAATGAACCATGAGTTGTACCCGCTATTCTCGGACATCGACATTGTTAGACGTATTGAGCTGCAGCGACTACGTTGGCTAGGTCATGTTGTGAGAATGGATGAAGATGCCCCAGCCCAGAAGGCATATAAAAGCGAACCAGCTGATGGTTCACGCAGAAGGGGAAGGTCACGAATAAGATGGAACGACCAAGTGGAAGACAACATTGCCGAATATGGTCTTTCAAATTGAAAAAACTGCGCAAAAGACCGACGCGCCAGAAAATCTTGTTTAAGCTCGGCTTGTGGAACGAAAGTTCTGTCACAAGCCAGCTAAGTAAGTAAATCCATGCCTATCAGTAAAAAACATTTTAAAAAAAATATCACAGTTTTTTTATTAATTTTAGCAAGAATATGCAAGCAACAACAAAAATGTGATATATGATTTTAAATAGCATCTCTAAAAATAAAACCCAAAATTTTAGAAAAGAAAAAAAAACTATTTTCAAACGAAACATTAAATCCAACGCATTCTAGAAGCGACTAAGAAAAAAATGTAGGTCCGGCAAAAATGTGCGTTTGAAAAAAATTAACAAAAACATCTACACTAAATGCATCATAAAAAGCGACATCGTTTCTCTTTTGGATTCGCATGACTAGCAGCAGCAATGCAAAAAAAAATCATGCATTGACCAAATCCGCCAGCCAACCCGCCATAGCATGGTGCTAATGCGGATCATGCCGCTTTTATGGGCAGCCATGCAGAAAAGCGTAGCATGAATTGGCAACAAAATTTAAGGCACTTTTTTTAAATATTTTTTAAGAGACCAGTCATAAGGGTTGAATTTTTAAAAATATTTTTTTAAAACTACATTTTTTTCTTAATTGTATAAAATTATAAATAAACGTAGCAATTATTCAAAATACGTAATAAAAAAATTGAAACGAAGAAAAAATCTAAACACATGTTTTCGTTGCCAACAAACACACCGCAGGTTAATTTTAACTTTCTCAGCAAATTAGAAAAAAAAATCGAGAAACAAAAAAAACATTTCTAACAATAGACAAAACGGCAGCTACTCCTAAGCATTCAAATTTCTCCCAAGAAATTATAACAAAAAATTGAATCGAAAAAAAACACGAAATGTAAAAAATATGTTCACATGCAACGGCTGCGGAAGTTTTGCGATTTATTTACAAGTTCAATTGTTGCTGTTGTTGTATTTTTACAAAACAATGAATTTAAGAATTTTGTATTTTTTTTCATGCAATGACGACGTTGTGTGAACACCAGAGAAGAATGCATTTTCTGTACAAATAATCCCCACCCACATCGGGGACCACCAGTCGTTGGCGAATTCAGAAAATACGAAAAAAAACAACAAGTGAAAGTCTTTTGTTTTCACATTAAACCATGGGCGTAGATGGGGAGGGACTTGTTGGAATTGAAAAATATTAAAGGTGGGGACACATAAAATCCTAGTTAAAATTTTATAGAGAAACATTTACAGAAATTATTTAAAATTATTTCATGCCAAAATCTTGGATTACCAACTGACGCAGACCACCCCTGGTGCATAGACTCCCATATATATATGGGATAATTGATGTTCCTTTGTGTTATCGCAAAAACTAAAACTAAAAATTACCTTGCATTTATATTTAATACTTAGTTACACAATTTGATTTCATGTTTGATTATTTCTCATCGATAATGGTAACAATAAGAAATCGGAGAAGAAGAAGAATACGTAGGGGAACAAAAACGAATTACAATTTAGCATGCATTCTATAAGCGAGTAATATATGTGAAAATGTATTTTTTTATCCAGCAAAACATTTTTTGTTAGTTCTAAGGAAAACATCGATCGGGAATTTCGATAGGTCTGGGAGGGGAATTAACAAAAAATTCGAAGGCGAATCATAGACTTTGATTTTTTATACCCTACACAACTATGTTGTCAGGATATTATAGCTTTGTACAGCCCCAAGAATTTGTTCCGCTGTGAAATATTGGTCCTGGACCCACCTTTAAGTACACGGATCGTCATATCTCGACCAGCTGAGTCGTCCGTCTGTCCATTATATTTTGTAAACACGATACATTTATGGACCAATCTTCACGAAATTTTGCATGTAGGATGGGTTCGGCCCAATGAAGACCCCTATTGTTTTTGGTAAAGATCGGTTAATATTTAGGGGATAAAATGGAACAAAACTTAATTTCGGTCGGGTTTTATGGTCGCTACAGAGGCCGTAATTATGGCCCAAACATCTCGAATTTTTACATGGAGAAGGGGATCGGGCCAAAGAATAAGCATACCTATCTTGATTGAAGATCGGTCAATATTTAACGGGTCAAATGGACACAGACTTTTGTGTGAAAAATTACAAAATTTGTATTGTATATATAACGCGCAGAAGTAGATAGTATATCCTAGAGGAGATACAGCTCCCATATACGTTTTCGACCGATTTAAGGTAAATGGTGCACCAAAGTACCTATATCTCTTTAGATTTGCACGAAATTTGGCACAGCGTATTGAATTAAGTCTGGAATGTTGTGTGCTATGTTTCGTGAAAATCGGTTCAGATTTATATATAGCTCCTATATATATTTTCGTCCGATTTAAAGTCAATGGTGCACAAAAGTTCCTATATATCTTTCGATTTGCACGAAATTTGGCACAGCGTATTGAATTAAGTCTGGATTGATATGTGTTAAGTTTCCTGAAAATCGGTTCAGATTTAGATATAGCTCCCATATATTGTTTCGTCCGATTTTATGTAAATGGTGCACCAAAGTTCCTATATATCTTTCGATTTGCACGAAATTTGGCACAGCGTATTGAAATGAGTCTGGAATGATGTGCGCTAAGTTTCGTGAAAATCGGTTCAGATTTAGATAAAGCTCACATATATAGTTTCGTCAGATTTTATTTAAATGGTGCACCAAAGTCAATATATATCTTTCGATTTGCACGAAATTTGCCACAGCGTATTGAATTAAGTCTGGAATGTTGTGTGCTATGTTTCGTGAAAATCGGTTCAGATTTAGATATAGCTCCTATATATTTTTTCGTCCGATTTAATGTAAATGGCCCCTATATATATTTCGATTTGCACGAAATTTTGTATAGCGTACTTAATTAAGTGCAGGATGATATGTGTTAAGTTTCGTGAAAATCGGTTCAGATTATATAGTTTCGTCCGATTTTATGTAGATGGTCCACCAATCTTCCAATATTTTTCAGATTGAGACAAGATTTTGCAAAGCGTACTAGATTAGGTCCAGTTTGATGTACGTGAAATTTTGATAAAATTGGTTCAGTTTTATATATAGCTCCCATATGTAGTTTCGTCCGATTTTAGATAAATTGTGCACCAAACTTTTAATATTTATTCTATTGAGACAAAATTTTGCAGAGCGTATTAAAATAGGTCCACATTGATGTATACGAAGTGTAGTGAAAATCGGTTTAGCTATATCTCCCCTATAGCGATTTTTTGGTAAATGGTGCACCAAACTCCCAAGGATTGTCCGATTAATACAAAAATTGGCGCAGCGTATTGAGATAGGTCCATATTAATGTATACGATGTTTTGTGAAAATCGGATTTAGATAGAGCTCCCATATATAGTTTCGTATAATTTTTGGTAAATGGTGCACAGAGGAGCATACGTCTGTTCCATATACACGAGATAAAATTGTGGACAGCGCTCTGTGCTGCAGCATACTTAACGCTATGGTTGCTCAATTAGGTCCAGATTTCCATATAACTCCACATACATTTCTTTGCTCTATTTCATACAAATGGTACAGGTATATAGGCAAATGGTATAGCTGTGTGCAGCCCCAAGAGTTTGTAAAGCCGCGAAATATTGATCCTAGACCTACCTTTAAGTATAACGATTGTCTTATCTCGACTAGTTGAGTCGATCTAGACATGTGTGTCCGCCCGTCTGCCCATTATATTTTGTAAACACGATACAGGCCACAGTTATGGACCAATTTTCACGAAATTGTAGGACCGTTTCTGGTCAATAAAGACCACTATTGTTTTTGATAAAGATCGCTTAATATTTAGGGGATGAAATGGACCAAATACTTAATTTTTGTTGGTTTTTCTGGTCGCTCCAGAGGCCGCAATTATGGCCCACACTTCGCGAATTTTATACCCTCCACAACTATGTTGGAGAAGGGGATTGGGCCAAAGATTGGTCAATATTTAGCGGGTCTATAGCGTATATATTTTTGCCTGAAGGATATACACCCAAGAAGTTAATAGTATATCCAAGAGTATTCATATATTATGTAGTAAGTCATTACCACACAATATGGGGGAAATATAGGGCGGATCGCTTTGAATATTTCTATGAGGATCCAGGTATGGTCAAGGACAACGCCTGGTGAAGGATGTCATATAGTCGGCTCCCTTCGACTTTTGAGTTTTCCTTACTGGTTTTTGTTTGAAAAAAAAACCCTGCCTTAGAATACATTTATCCATCCTCGAAATGTTCACTGGGTTATTTCGGATATCCTTGGTTTTCCGTTTAGCTTTTTTTGTTATTTTTCAAAGTCTAACACCTTCATGTATTTCGTAATTCAACAAGAGAGAAATTCGGTCGGTCACTCCATCAGCCTATGTTGATTACCATTAATTATATTTTGAAGTTTAATTTTAAGTTCGCACCTTGTGCCTTCAAATTCCATGAATTATTCATTAGACCAAATGGTTATTTTGTTAAATTGGTTTAAAAAACCCCAAAAATAATTTATCAAGATGGAACTTACCTGATAATTCCACATCTGTAAAAGGTTTCTTTTTAACAGACTGAAAAATACAACAAAATAAATATTATTAAATTAGAAAAATAATATTTTTTGAAGAAGAACGAAAGAATTTTCTAACAAATTTCTTTGAAAAAAAATTCATGGACCCCTTTCAATACTCACCTTTGGTGTACGCTTCCCCAGCAATGCTGTGCCCAGCATCTGCAATTAAATAAAGAAATCAAATTAAATTACTGTCAAATAAAATAATAAAATAAAAAAATATCGAATGAATTAAATTAAAATCAAATATTATTTTACAATTATTGTATCACACAAATATGTGAAAACCATCAATTCAATTCAATCGAAATAAAATTCCTCCACGAAAAAAAATTGTTGCATATTTTTGTGCGCCGTCCAAAATTATTATTATAAATACGATATGGAATAACGACAACAACAATAGCAAAATAACGAAGTTGACGTTGGCGGCAGCGTCGTTTTGCTTTATTATCTGGCAGTCGTTTTTCATACGCTAATTTGTTGTTGTTGCTGTATTTTTATTTTTCATTACTTATTAATTGTGATGAAAATCTTGTTCGTTTATTATTATTATTGAAATAATATACAATTCCGAATATAAAATATAAACTCGTACGTATGTATGTGCATCATTATATGTAATACCACCACCACACAGGGCATTGTACAGCTGGCCAACATGCACGGTCGATAGTGAAATTATAAATTATTGGCAAATTTGCGTTGGATCATTTATGTGTAAATATCTTTTATTGGGGAGGAGTGGTCTGAAAGAGGTTTTCCACAGACACAAAGACCACATTTTTTTTTAAGAAAAACCTCAAGCCTAAAGAAAGACTTTCTAAAATATGTTTAAGACCAGTAAGGAAATTAGTACAGTCGGACGGGGACGACTATATGATACCCTTCACCACTTTGGGTATATTTAACAGATGAATCCTAACAGACGTCGCAATTTTTGAAGGACCAGTAAAATGAAATTGATCCATAAACATGTCATTCTGCAAACTATACTAAATTTTTCATTTGGTCAGATATAGAGTTGCTTCTTACAATGGGACAAAATTATGTAAATCAATTTAAAGCAAATATCAATCGGACACCCGTTGATTATTTGGATACATATCTGATAAACATGGGCTGTTTGCTGCAGCATTTACCTTAAATCGGACGAAAATATATATGGGAGCTACATCTAAATCTGAACCGATTTCAGGAAACTTAACACACATCATTCTAGACTTAATTCAGAACCCCATGCAAAATTTCGTGCAAATCGATAGGTATAGAGGGACTTTGGTGCAGCAATTACATAAAATCGGACGAAACTATATATGGAAGCTATATCTGAACCGATTTCCAGGGAACTTAACACACATCATTCTAGACCTAATTCATTACGCTGTGCCAAATTTCGTGCACATTGAAAGATATAGGGATTTTGGTGCACCATTTACAATAAAATCGATTCAGGTTGGGCCGAAATTATATATGGGAGCTATATCTAAAACTGAATCGATTTTCACGAAACTTAGCACACATCATTCTGGACCTAATTCAGCACCCTATGCCAAATTTCGTGCAAAACGAAAGATATATGGGGACTTTGGTGCACCATTTACATAAAATCGGACGAAAGTATATATGGGAGCTATATCTAAATCTGGACCGATTTTTACGAAACTTGGCAGATATCACTCTAGGCTCAATTCAGTACGCTATGCCAAATTTCGTGCAAATCGAAAGATATATGGGGACTGTGGTGCACCATTTACATTAAATCGGACGATAATATATATGGGAGCTATATCTAAATCTGAAGCGATTTTTCCCAATTTCAATAGGATTCCTCCTTGGGCCAAATAAGTGACATATGCCAAATTTCATCCAATTCGGATCATATTCCAATTCGGACAATTTAACAGACGGACATGCATAAGTTAGAAAGTGATTCTCTGCACATTCTCAAAAGGAACCATGTGTCTATCTCGTTTCCTTTTGCCTGTTACAAACATATGCACAAAGACAAAATACCCTGTACCACAGTGTGGTGAAGGGTATAAAAACACGCCTATGGCTAGATCTTAAAGAAATATTTTTAATCCAGTGAGCGGAGCAGTATAGTCGGACGGTGCCGACCATACGGCGTTGTCCTTGACCATAACTGGAACCTCATGAAAAATTTCCAAACGATCAGAGTTATATTTTTGCCCTCTAGTGTGGTAATGGGTTGCTAAATAATATCTGGCTACGTAAACACCTGTAAATATTTAAATGTAACTCCCACATCCGAGTACTTACGACCATATAATTGGTATCAATTTAAAGGCCAACCACTCCTCTTGGATATACTATCAACTTCTCGGGCCTATGTCCTTCAGGGGTAAATATATACGCCATAGAATACAAATTTTGTCATTTTTCACCCAAATGTCGGGGTCCATTTGGCCCGCTTAATATTGACCGATCTTTATCAAAGCAGGCGTGCCTATTCTTTGGCCCGATCCCCTTCTCCATGTAAAAATTCGCAATGTTTGTGCCATAATTGCGGCCTCTGGAGCGACCAGAAAAACCGACTAAAATTACGTATTTGGTCCATTTCATCCCATAAATATTAACCGATCTTTACCAAAAACAATAGGGGTTTTCATTGGCCAGAACCCATCCTACATGCAAAATTTCGTAAAGATTGATCCATAACTGTGGCCTGTATCGTGTTTACAAATAATAATAGACAGACGGACGAACGGGCGGACATACATGTCTAGATCGACTCACCTTGCGAGATATGACGATCGGTATACTTAAAGGTGGGTATAGGACCACTATTTCACGGCGTTACAAACTCTTGGGGCTGCACAAAGCTATAATACCCTGACAACATAGTTTTGTAGGGTATAAAAATCCATCCCAAAAATAGAACCTTCCAAAAAAAGGACCTTCTAAAAATATTTAAAAAAATCCACGCTATACCTCAAAAAAATATTTTAAAAAATCCACGCACATTTGAAGGCCCTGAAAAAATATTTCTAAAAAATGTTTTTAAAAAATCCAAGTTTCTTATAGCCCTGAAAAAATTTTTTAAAAAATCCACTTTTATTTCTGAAAAATATGTACTTATGAAAAAATATTTTAAAAAAACCCATGCCTATGGCTAGACTTTCCAATTTTTTTTTTTTTAAATTCCTTCGCTCATCTCGATTACTCATCTCAAACATCACTGTCTGATACTATCGACTTTTACCACTGGAACATGAAAATGTTTACCCACCCCCTACTTTGAACTATAATTATAAAAAAAAACACAAAATTAATTAAATTAACGATAAACAAATAAATGATACGAATCTGCAGAATAAAAATAACGTGGGCAAACACATACGAATTGTCTAAATAATAGTAATAATAATAATTAAAATAAAATTATGTTTATATTTAAACCAAACCAAACGAACAAAAAACTTTTCAAAATTATAAACAAATTTTGGAGATTTTTTTTTTTTGAAATTTTCTATTTCTGAGTGATATTGATATTCACACCTAATTTAAAGAAATTTTTTAAGGAGCAGAGGAGATTGGGATGATGAAGAGATAGAAATTTATTTATAGAATATTAGTGGATATTGTTTTTCAATTGTGGTCTATAAAGTGCACATTTGACATGACTGACTCTAGATCTTGACTAAATTCGATCAGAGACTGCATGATTGCAAATGACTGAAAACATTTATTTTTTTCTTCTATTAAGAGAATTTCATTTTCTTTATCTTAATCCTATTCCCCACATTTGTAAATGTCATTATAAATAATTTCTTTAAACAATTATTGTGTTAATTTTATTTTGGCAACAACAACAACAAAAAGATCCCAAAAATACCTTCGAGGCGTCATCTATCTTCGGCTTGTCTAGATGTTGGCTAATTTGTTAATCTGTTGTAACAGATGTCCGGCCGGCGACGGCGTCTTCCTATAAATTTACGTTGCAGGTCTTTATTTGAATTTTTCTATTTTTATATTAAATTTTCTAATATACATATATACTTATATAGATATATATTCGATTTTAATTCGAGAAAATCCACAAAGGAAAAAAATCAACATTTTGAGTATTTCAACAAAATAATTATTTGTCTGCCAAAAAATCGAGCTACTAGCAAAGAAATGTTTAGCTAGATCTATTCAGAGGGTGACGTAGGGGATGATAGATACAAAGCAACGGGTCTTATTTGGCTTTAGCATGGCGAAGCCCAGGCTTACCTTGGTCCCTCTTTCATCTCAGTTGTGGACACTGACCTCCCCACGGTCACCTGAGTAACTATTTTCATCATCCATTGAAATAGTGAGCTGGTATGTGCCTCAAGTTCACCCATAACTACTATAAAAAATGGGTTGAGACCTCGGGATAGTTGCCCACACTCGGAAAACCCCTCCTACTATGAAAAAATAATGAAAAAGAAAACCAAACCCAACGCACCCCACCCCCAATGTTGACGACCCCCGCAAATGTATAAAGGAAGACGATCTGCGAATCTGCACTTGGAATGTACGCAGAACAGGCACAGTTTTTGCCTTGGCGGATGTACTCAGGAAGTACAAATCCATTATTATTGCCTTACAGGAAATGCGATGGAATGGGACTGGCGTAATTAAGTAAAGTATTTCCAGATTTTAAATTTTTAAAAACAGAAAAAAAACAATTAACAATTTTTTTTCAAAATATTTTTATAAAGACCTAACACATCCAACCAAATTCCATACCAACCCTAACCACAATTTTCCCCACATTTCCAATTATTTTTATTTATATTTAAAAAGTATTAAATCGAAAAAAATAATAATTTTTGTAATGGTACAAAATGAAATAATCGCTGTTGCAAACATACATTTACTGTGAAAAATTTTCATTTCGGGGGGGGGGGGGGTGCGGTCCCCCTGGGCAGCCCCCCTGCGTACGTCCCTGCCTGGATGGTCCTTTAAAAAATCCACGCCTTGTATGAATGGTCCTTGGAAAAAAATATTCCTTTAAAAAATCCACGCCTTGTATGAATGGTCCTTGGAAAAAAATATTCCTTTACGAAATCCACGCCTTGTATGAATGGCATTCGTCCAGTGTTTTAGACGTTCGATCGATACGAGAAGCGAATATCGATTCTGACCTTGTGGCAGCCAAGGTTCGCACCCGCCTTAATGTAGCAGC